TGTGTGTGTGTTTTCTTTAAATATTTATATGCTGTGCCCATTTTTACAGCCACACAGCCAACTCTCATCACAGGTATAAGTCAGGGTAGGCAGTAGAAGAGCTTCAGGAAGGATCCTGCCCGAGGCTGTTTTCTCTTGCAGTAACAAAATACCTGTGACTGGGTACTTTATAAAGAGGCTTATTGGGCTCAGAATTCTGATGGCTAGAGGGTCCAACTAGCATGGCCCCAGTGGTCTGGAGAAAGCCCACTCGCTGTATCACAGCATCTCAGAGAAACAGAAAGGGACACCAACTGCATGCTGCAGAGGTCAAGTACATGAGGTGGCCTCACTTTATAGCCATTTGTTTACATGAGCACTAACTCACTTCAGAGCCCAGCATTAATCCCTTCAGAAGGCAGTGAGTGTCCCTGCAACCTAATGATCTCCCACTAAGCCCCGCATTGTAAAGGTCCTGCCACCTCAACACCACCACCACCCTGAGGACTGAGCTTCTGGGACATGAACCTCAAGAAGATGCTCTCAAACCATAGGTCAACCATAGCAGATACCCCGATATTTCCCCAAAGGAACCCCCCACGAACCTTTGGTTTACTAGATAAAATTGTTTGAAATGTAACTTCTATCTTCTCATCTCTACATAGACAGCTTGCTAACCTCTTAATATGTACCATTCTGGTATGTTGATAGGCCTGGCGCTGAAGGGAAGGAATGGTAAGAAATAACTAAGACATAATCTTTGACCAAAAAGGGCTGACAATTAGTGACGGAGAACCCACGAAAGACGTGCATAGCTTCTTCTCTTAAGGAATTCATAGTGCAAATTGGGAAAAGTGAAATATCGGTCACAGATAAAAGAAACTATTGATTTATTGCACTGGTGAGGACAGGGAGCAGGATTCTGGCTATGTCTGGTCTTCTGGTGACCTGACTGGGTTTTATTTAACATTTTGAGTCCTCACACATGGGTCCCTATAAGTCTATGAAGACAGTTCAACCACTTGTCCTTGTCCTTACTTCCCAGTTGATAGACTAGCAAGGAATGACACTCATTTTTCACATTTACACTAGACCAAGGAAGTATTAGCCCAGAACTTCTGTCTACCATTATATAATCTTGGGCAAATTACTTAACCTTCTGCCCTTCAGTTTCCTCACCTGTAAAATGTGATATACATAAAATTGCAATTATTTTGGAGGGCAAAAATACAGATCACTCAAACTTAATTTTAGCACATATTAAACATTCAAGCTGATAGGTATCATTTCTATTCTCTTCATATTTTGCTACAGAATCAGTAAAAACAGATTACACCAATGCCCTCTTTCCGGTCAAAAATTCATATCTGAATACTCATGAATGGTTTTCAAGGGAATGATTGAACTGTTTGTTAGATGTATTATAAACTTTTTTTTTTTTTGCTTTTGCTTTTAGAAGGTCTGTTAGTCAGCTTTTCAATACTGTGACCAAAGTGATGATGAGAACATCTTAAAAGAGGAAAAGAATATTTTGGATGACCACTTCAGAAGTTTCAGTTTAAGTTGGGCCATTTCCATTGCTCTGGGACCAAGGTAAGGCAGAACATTCTAGTAAAAGGGCCTGGTGGAGGATAACCTCTCAGGTCATAGAGGTCCAGAGAGAATTGGGGGCGGGGAATGCACCAGACCTGGGATGAAATGTAAACTCCAAAGTCACTCCCAGTGACCTACTTCCTCCAGCCATACCTCACCTCACGAGTACAGAATTCCTTTCCGATTATTAATTCATCAAATGGATTAATCCACTAATTTACAGCTCTTCTAATCAAATCATTTCATCTCTGTACATTCATGAATTGTCTCACATAAGAGCTTTTGGGGGACACCTCATAACCAAACCATAACAGAAAGGAGAAGAAAAACATTTGAAATGACGGTTGCCTTAAATAAACTTCTGAATTCTTTTAATGTTCTGGTGGGGTCACCTCCAATAGGTGTTGTATTAGAAAACATTCTCGGGGTTAGTGTAAGTTGATACATAAAAGAAGAAACAAGAGTGAAAAGGAGAAACAACAAAACAAGAAAATAATTCTCCCTTACTGAAGATTTACTTAAATGTTATTGATCAGCTTCTTCCATCTCCTTACTCGTGGTTACCCTTGATTCTGTACATCTGGTTGGTAGTCACAGGAGAGAGCCATTTGAACTTCAGAAAGCCACCCAGATCCTAAGAACCGAGAGTCTCCATTTTAAGAGATGTGCTGTTAGCACAGGGAGGTAGTTCCTGAAGAAAGCCTTAGGAATTTCAACATTAGTTGAGAAACTAAATTACTAAATATTGTAGTAACAAATATTTTTTTCCCTTGGAACTGTCCCCAAGTCATTTTTATTTCCTTTCTGAAATTTATTAAAAAATAAAACAAAACACCATATGCTAAAAGCAAAAGCATAATGAACAGCCTAGCAGAGTGCACGTGCGCCTCCTCTGAGATGTCCACCGAGTGCTGAGCTCACCACGGGAAGGTGGGAACGAACGCTGGAGGTTAACTGCGAAAAGAGAAGCTTTGCATGAGTTGGCCCTTCCTTTGCACCACTGGGAACTACTCCTCTCTAAGGACAATGCAGCCTGTTGGATATGAGAGAGAGAATTGAATATTTCCCTGAGATACTGGGAAAGACGAGGTAGGAGATGAGTCAGGGATTTTTTTCTTTTTCTGCATTGTCCCCTTCTCTTCTAAAATCATACTAAACATCATGAGGTCCATAAATTCTTTGCTTCTAAGTACCCACCTCACTGTAGCTGCTCAGTCAAGAATTGTTAATTTGTGGACTGGTACATAAATAAGAACCAACGCTTTCGATGCTGTATTTAATGAATGATGTGAATACACAAGCACCAGCTCATTTAATTCTCAGGATCATTCTCTCAGGCCAGTAGTCCTGATTTGCAGATGGGAAGACTGAGGATTTGATATGTTGAATAAAAATTCCACATTAAAATCATTTTTTTAAAACTAAGCTCTTTCTACCTTCAGACATTCCTTAAAAGAAACCATCTCAGTGATACAAAATGATGGCACTTTTATCCAGCTTATTACCTCTGTCCTAGTTAGTCACCAATATTAGAACATAACAAACTGATTAAATTCTCCCTCCTAACAGTTCCTTCATGGAAATCAGTTATTTCCAATATCTTCTCTGTGTTTATCATTGGTGATTTAGAAATCGTTTTACTTGATTTTAAATCTGATGGATCTTAAACTATATATCTTTGCATACAACTATTCACTAAGGTAGCAGAAGTTTTTTTTTTTAATTTACAGTAAAGATCTAAGTGCCATGATTTGATTTGAGAATCAAAAGGCTAGAAAAATATCTTGAGAGAAAAACATAAAGTCCATAATCTGAAAGCGTTCTTCCAGCAAGAATTTTGACCAAAAGTAAATCCACCTGGAAATCCAGGCAACTCACATGCTAAATTAATTCCAACAGATATTCAAGCACATGGGGTGATGATTCTTTCAAATAGCATGACCCCAGAGACTCTTCAATTGATGGGGGGAAATGTGGGTGATTGTTCACCACAAATAATAATAATAATAAATAAATAACAACAACTTGCTCAGATGACTGAATGCAGAGCTTGAGTGAACTGAGAAAATTGAGTCCAAAAAACAAAGGTATGCCCGCCTCAGAGGCATTTGTTCTCTCACCAAACATCCCTAAGAAGCAAAACCAATCTCTCTGAACCTCAGTTGCACAATCTATAAAATAGGAAGGAAATACTTTCCCTTCTTCTTAGCAAGAGGGGAAAGTGTATGTGGTCGTCACAGATTTTAGCTGGGCAGCAGGACCCTGCGGTGTGGGCTTACATCCTCTGGTTTTGCAGGCTCCATACACCCAGTTCTCTTCAGTCCCCATGCAGACACAGTCCCTGTCCTTGGTCAAGTTGCTGTTAACAAGATAATATTGATTGTACAGATTCTTTCAAAAAGCCTATCCCTCTCTGTGCTTCATAAAAGAGCGAAATGAGACCTTTTTAAATCCACAGCTCCTACTATGTTCAAAAACCAGCTGTCATAAATGTTCTATGAGAGGTTCTTTGTGAGGTGCCTGAGATTCAGGTCCAAGGAAGGCCCCACACCAGAACTGTTCAGGACAGCCTCACTGGGGACTGGGCAGTTGTGCTGCTCTGCCAGGAGCTTAATAAGGACAGGCCTGTCCTGGCTATGTCAAATGCACACCCGCTGGCCTTGCAGGGGAACCACTGGATCATACCACTCAGCTGATGGAAAGTTGGTGATGGCAAAGGCCATTTTCCCTGCATGGGATGGATTCAAATGCACAGAAAGTACCAGGTCAAAAGTTCAAAGTGTTGCTTGTTCATTCTTCTGGCAGAAGTAGGATCACAAGGGAGAAGGAGTTACACTTTGCAGAAACTGAAAAGAGAGGAAGGATTTTGAAGACATATAAACCAGTTTCAATCAAAAGGCAGCTGCACTGAGTAGACTCCTAAGACTACAAAAAAAAAAAAAAAAAAAAGTTTCAGGCTGACAGTGTGTCTTCATTCGGATGGGGAAAATAAAAGTGTTTCCTCTAGTTCTGGCAGCCCGGCAAGGAAAAAGAGGTATTAGCAGAAGTCTGAGCCTTCAGGGGCCTGGCCCACATCCCAGCCATATCCTGAGATAATGGCAGGACTTCCAAAAATTCTTGTGGCAGGGATCTGCATTTCCTGTCCTAAACGGTTAGGCCATCTGGAATGTCTATTATGGAAGCATTAAATTTATGGAACTGTCCTCACAGGCTCCCAAAACTACTTCAAGTGTTCTACAGAATAAAAATAAGTGGAATAGAAACAAACTATGTGGATTACCAACTCTTCTGCTGCAGGAGACACAAATGTACTGGAGTCATATGGAACATACCAAAATATAAAAACTAAGAATTTAGGAAGCACACAGAACCGAGTGATTTCAAAGGGCCATTTTAGCATACAGAACTGAATCGAAAGTCAGGGTATTTGGGCCAAGGATTTTCCTGGAGTTCTTAGAACTTCCTTCCACCCTCATATGTGCTAATGGTCCTCACAGAGGCACGAGAAAGCCAGGCAGGTGTATTGTGCAGCAACTCAACCTCCCCCAAAGCTATCAAAGCGCTTTAATGATAGAGAGGCAGGAGTATTATTCGTCTGTGCACAAAGCAGAATTGTTCTTCTTTAGATACCAGTGTCATTTCAGAAGGCATATGCAAAGGAACTGACACATAAAAATGCATAATGGGAAACCAGCCACAGCGCAAACATGCCCACACATAGTTTATCATTCTTCTGTTGTTGCATAACAAATTACCATAAACGCAATGACTTTCAGCAATATCCATCTATTATCTCCAGTTCTGTACATCAGAAGTCCAGGCAGATTTGACTGAGTTTTGTGCTTAGGAGACCAGAAGGCTCAAAATCTTAGGCTCTAGGCTCTAATCTTAGGCTCTTGGCTTATTGAGTGGTTGGCAGAATTCAGTTCTGTGTGGTTGTAGTTCTAAGGTTTCCACTCCTTTCTTGGCAGTCAGCTGGGCCCCCACTTAGTTTCTAAAAGCCACATTAATTCCTTTTGTGGGCAGCCCCCTCTATCTTCAAATCTCTAGGATCCACTGAGTATTTCTTGCTCTTGAACTGTTACTCTGACTTTTGCTTTTGACTGCAGTTTGGGAAATCTCTCTGTTTTTAAAATGCTCATGTGGTTAGATTAGGCCCACCTGAAAAGTCTCCATTTTGCCATTTTATAAGGAAACATGATCACAGGTGTAACATCAGTGGGCAAAGATCATGGGACTCATCTTAAAATTCTGCTCACCATCTAGAACTTTTGACTCAGTCTAAAGCCAGAAACAGTTGTGTGTTTTCTTATGAGATGATGACTCTGGTGAATGAAGCCGAGCCCTCAGGAAAAGGCAGCCTGCACTTTTGTGTGGTATGTACAATCAAAGGGAGTGTGATATGAGGCTGAGGTTGTCCAACCTATACTACTCCTGGTTCAATTCCTTTAAAATGACCTCAGGCCTGTATTCAACTCCTGGCCTTAAAGTCTCTGCTCCTCTTGACTTCCTATCCAACTCTATCCCCCATCATAAAAGACACCTTAGTTTCCTCTGGAGATAATTCCTCTTCTGAATCTATTTGCTGAAGTTGATATATTGTGTCTACATTGATCCCCTTCTTTATACCTTCTCTCCTTCAGTTTACTCTCAGCTCCTCACAGGTAGATAGAGTGCCTGACATACCCGTCAATCCCCTGCTAAATCCTTCATGGAACCTAATCCAGTACAGGTGCTCACTGAATGCTTCCAAGCTTGAGAGAGGTGGAACACTATCCCTGGACGGTGTTCTATATAAGCAGTAAATTATGTGTCCAATGGCTTTGCACACTGTTAGCAAAACAGATTAAGGTTTTTAAGTCCCACAATAGCCAATCAATATATATTGCAACACAGAATCCATAGACTTCTAAATTTGTTTGTATAGTTCAGTTTCTTTCTTTTTCCACTCAGGCTATTTAATCTGCTCACTGATATGTGAACTCTATGAATTCAAAGGGTTTCCTTCTTTGCTCTTGCTATGATCTTATGATTATTTACCGTGAATATATCAGTGCCACTTCTGCTCCAGATAACCAGATGATCAGGGACATAGTCAACTGATTAGCTCTACTTCACTCAGACTATTCCAATCCCAAATCAACAGCTCCTATTAATGTCCCGAGGAAACTGATAACCAGGTGCAACACAAGGCACTCGGAGCTACCAAGCTAAATGTGATTCAGAAGTCCAATGTGAACATTGGATCAGTGATGAAGAGCCGGATGAGGAGGGATGATACCTAGAAAGATCCAGTGCCAGTGAGCACTCAGATGTAAAAATAAGTCCACCCAGAAAATGGCACTTAGCTGCTACCCAGAGGACACAGGAGCTACCTCTCCTGGTTGCAGAGTTAGGATGGGAACGTGAGCCTGCATCAGCGGGTAGCTCTAAGAGAACCCCTACTGGAGGCAGCATGATTTAAATGTTGTCCTGAGGCTAACACAGATCCAGAGAATTTTTCAGAATAAAACGTTACTAAGCAGTTGTGATACTGTGATTTATGATAAGAAATACATATTTAGTTTTGTCCCCTTTCCTAGTATATAGATCTTAAGACTCTTAGAAATTCTGAAATAATATTTTTTTATGTTAAATAGGATGACTGCTGACTGGGGGTTCCTGGACAGCCTCAGGATAAAATAGGAACGGGTTTTCAGGGGGACCCTACAAATAGAAGGTTGAAACTTTTAGACTCACAGCCTAGGGGAGGTACTGAAGGGTGAGTTGATCACCAATGGCCAATAATATAGTCATGCCTAAGTATTGAAGCCTCCATAGAGACCAAAAAAGAGAGGGTTCCAAGAGTTTCCATGCTTCTGAATGTGTTGGAAGTGCCAGGGAGGTGCCTTCTCCCAGAGGGCATAGAGCTTCCATGCCTCCGCCAACATACCTTGTTCAAGGTACCTTTTCATCTATTTGTTCATTTGTGTCCTTTAGAGTATCCTTTATAATAACAGTGAACGTCTTCTCTTTCTGATTTACTCTACCAAGTAACTGAATCCAAGGAGAAGGTCATGGGAACTCACAATTTATAGCCAGTTGATGAGAAGCACCGGTCACAACCTGGGACCTGAGATCAGCATCCAAAGAGGAAGGCAATCTTGTGAGACTGAGTCCTGAAGCTGTGGGGTCTACACTGACTCTGATTCGTGTCAGAAGTGAACTTCATCTTAGGACATCCAGTTGATACCTGCTGGAGAACTGATGTGCGGGGAAGAAAACAAATGAAACAGACCTCTGGTGCCAGAAGTGCCCATGTTGTATTGAATGAGAGTGTAATAGGGGACAAAACACTTTGTTTTTCCTTCCCTATGTAGTGAACCAGCCAAGTGAAAGAAAGGGATGAAGAAACCTGTTTTTGCTTTGAATCCTGTGTTTTCTGTCTGTAGAGGAGAAAACAGGTAAGATACTCAGGCCACAGAATGGCCAGGTAAAACACAGGGAGCTCAGAGCCATCAAACTCAGCACTTTCGATAGATTAACCACTGGACACATATGCCCAGGAATCAAGGACAAGGACCAAATCCGGATACTTGAAAAATCTTACCTTCACTCTAAATGGGCTCAACTGGTCATTGAGAATGATATTGGTAATTTTGGAATAGGGTCTGTCTGTACACCAGCAAAGCACTTGGGTGCACTAGGAAAGAAATGTAAAGAAAACAGATGAGCTGTATATAAACTGACACTGTAAGGAAACATGAAAAATTAAACATGATTATGAAGATGATGTCTCTATTATTTAGTATATTACAGATTATTATATTTTCTCACTAATTCCCCTCTGGCTTTATGCTTAAAATATATATATACTAAATCACTGGTCTTCTTAACATCCATGAACCCTTTCAGATACGTTTCAAAACCTGTCCAGAATATATTGCAAATATTCTTTTCAATGAATAAATACATCACTGAGGTGATTCTAAATAAACCAAATGTTAAAAAATTTTGGTTGAGATTTCTATTTTTTCAGGGAGCCCTCTTGTGGGTGACAGGTATATTACCAAAACAGATTTTCATTGACTTGGTAGGTAATGGGCTGAGAATGCTTCATGTTTCCATCCTGCCAAAGTTGAATATGTATGCACTTTATTGTGTCCAATTTATTTCTCCATATTTATCTTCCCAAATTTAATTCTGTAAATCCTAGGCCCCCAAGCTTTCAGAGGGCATAAAAGGTCATTTGGTCTGGTGATTCTCAAATTGTCTGGTCATCATTATCATCTGGCAGTGTTTTAAAAGTACATATCTTTGGGCAATATTCTGAGATAAATTGGGTTGGTAAATCTGTCCTAGAGGCAGCTAGCTCTATCTTTTTCTTAAATCTCCCCCAAGTGATTCTGATTCTTAGTCAAATTTAGTATTGAAGTTGTTCAACTCCCCTTCTAATTATACTTGCTAAACCTAAGGGATATTAATATTTTAACATTATACATTTTCTCCCTAACTTGATAGGGACAGGACCCTGCTTACCTTTCCCCAGCACCTAGTACAGAAATGGGAAACAAGTAGGTACTCATTAACAATTTATTAGATCAGTTTAGGCAATGCCATTCTACTAATCCATATAGTTAATACTCTTTAAATTGCAATTCCAATAGATTTACAGTGGGAAAATTGTAAACAAAGAGACTTCAGTGTAAAATCTCACACTAATCAATCCATGCCAATGACCTTCAGGACTCCAGGGGCATGCAAACAAGCATTGTTTATATCTGGGATGATTATGTTGAACAGTGGGAATAAAGCGGATATTGGTTTTCCCCCACTTGCATTTAAAAAGAATGTGCTGTTATATTTCAGTTAAAGTTAATAAAGTTTTTCAGCCCTTCTCACCATTCAATGTAATGTACTTGGTATGAGAGCAGTAATGGAAAAAGACAATCTGCAAAAAATTGCATATCATGGATACTCTCATTTATATGCACAATTTTGAATTCCAAGAAAATAAGAAGCAAGTTACCATGCATTTACCTTTACAAATGCTGAGACTAGGCAAGATTGGATATAAGCAATCGGATCTGACGATAATATATTCCATTTGCAATTGTTAGAGATTTATGCAAGATAGCAGGTAACACCTTCCTTTTGAATTTCAAATGCTGTATAACCTTTTGAAGATAACAAGGGATATTCATCTGAAATAATGGTAGGAAATTTATAACGGAGACCACATAATTAGTTGTTATTTTTTGCAAGTACCACACATTCTGATAGGAACATGGCTAGAAAAAATATACCTCTCAGTAAGAAGTCAGTATTTTTTTTCTTTCTTCCTTTTTCTGTTCCTTTCTCTTTTTGAATTGAACATCTTGGTTTAGAGGGTACATAATAATCTAGGAAAAAAAAATATATATATAAATATAAGTTAGCATTTTGAAATGCTCATGGGCTCTCCTGGATTTTTAGGATTAATTCTAAAAATAGCAAATTTTATGGATCTCTGTTAAATTGTTTACCATAACAGAAATCCTTTAGTCCAGAAACTAGCAATTTAATTTTCGTAGGGCAATCATTCTTTACAATTATTTTACCATGGAATCTAACACCCCAAATTCAATTCTGAGAAAAAAAAATGTATCTAAATTTCCTGGCACTATGCCTTATAGTTTATTTAGATGAGAGTGAGCAATATTCATAAAAGTTCAACAGGCAGAGCATCAAATTCAATATTACCTATTTGTTTTCTCCTAGGGAAAAAGACATAGAAATTGTTTATCTTTGTTTTCAAACTCTTTCATCTGTAGGAATAATATATGGTGACTGGAATTTCTGGTGTGGCTTAGTCTAAAGTGGAACTTCTTCTGAAAAGACTGTGATGGTGCATTTTGACATGTTTGGTCATTCCCCAAATGACTGACATGAAGACTAACTTTTTTTTTTGTACTCAACTCATAATCATAATTGTAATCAATCATAATCAGATGATTAATCACCTCAAATCATATTCAGAGCTGGAATGGAATTTTGGGTGGCAGTGGCATTTCTCAAAAGACTTAGAGTCATCCACACACTGTGCCCATTGGGGGTTAGGATGATAGATGGGATAAGTGCCAGAAAGAACTGACAAGTCCAGATGGAATTGGTCAAGGAAGAAGGTTGCTGGGGGAAATTATAGCTCACAATGACAACTGCATATACTGGACAAAGCACACCACACCTGCCCAGGACTAGATGCACGCTCAGGAGCAACCCTGAGAGGACTAGAGAATCCCACCTCTGGTGGATCTGTGGGCTCCACATATGCAGGAGATGAAAGTGAAGGCAGAGCTGCAGGTTTCCCGGCTTAGTGATGAGGGAATCCCTAGCTCAGAGACCAAGAAGCAAAGATTAGATTCTCTTTCATTTTGTTTTTCCTTTTTTGTTTGTTTGTTTGTTTTGGCCTTTCCTTTTGGTTCCACATATCTAAGAAAACCTCTAACCACTGAGATAACAAAACAGACATTAGTTACATACAACAAGGAATGTTGTCTTTGTTAATATAATTGGAAATGTCATCAAATAAATGTACTATTAAATAAATGTCAAATATTAATAGCATCAAATGCTAAAGACGGAAAAACTGATTTTCAGTGTCACCATATTAAAATGTTGAAAATATCCAATTTTCAACCCCCCTAAAAAAACTGAAATAATCAGGTAAGCATGGCCCATTTATTAGGGGAAAGAAACAAGTAAATGGGCAAGAAACAAGAGGACCTGTTTCAGAGAAAGTCAGTGTTACAGTTGCTAGACAAAGAATTTATCAACTCTTTTAAATAAATTCAAAGAGCTAAAGGGAAACCATAGACAAAGAATTACAGGAAACCAGGAACATGGTACATGAACAAAATGAGAATATCAATAAAAGGTATAAATTATAAAATAAAGTAGAAAATCTACAACTGAAAAACAACTGAAGTGGAAATTTCACTAGACAGGATCACTAGCAGTCTTGTGCAGGCAAAGAGAAAAAATAATTGTGAACTAGATAGGACAGAGAGGTAGGAAGGGAAGGGAGAGGGCAGGAGTTTAGCAATGATGGTAGAATGTGATGAACATCATTATCCAAAGTACATGTATGAAGGCACGAATTGGTGTGAACATACCGTATATACAAACAGAGATATGAAAAATCGTGCTCTATATGTGTAGTAAGAATTGTAATGCATTCCACTGTCATGTATCTAAAAAATAAAAAAATCAATTAAAAAATGAATCAAAATATATTCTGCTGTCATATACACATAATTAGAATAAATAAGTAATAAATTATAAAAAATTGTGAACTTGAAAATAGGAAAATTGAAATTATCCAGTCTAAGGAACAAAAAAATTTAGAAAGTTTTCTTTTATTTCCTTCCTTCCTTCCTTCCTTCCTTTATGCCTTCCTTCCTTTCTTTCCTTTCTCTTGTTTATTTGTTTTAAATTCTTTTGATGTGTAAAGAAAAGTGAAAAGACATAAAGGGACTCAAAGGGATGCCATCATGATTACCAAAGGATGCGTTCTGCCCAGAGAAGAGAGAAAAAAAAAAGACAGAATAACTATTTGAAAAAATAATGACCCCCAAATTCACAAATTTGATGAAATACATGAATCTAAAAACATGAAAATTAACAGTCTTCAAGTGAGATAACTCAAAAAGTATCACAGTGAGACATGTTATTATCAAACTGTCAAAAGGAAAAGAGAGAATACTGAAGACAGGGGTCAAAGTGACTTATCATACACAAGGGCCTCTCAGTAAGATTATCAATTGGTTTATCAGAAACCATGGCAGCCAAGAGTGAATGAATGACATATTTAAAGTTCTGAAATAAACTTAAACACAGATTGTGAACCAAATATTCTACAGCCATAAAAGGTATCCCTTAATGTACACCTGATAAAAGACTTGCATCTAGAATACATTAAAAAAAATACTGTGAGAATGAAATACCAAAAGACAACCTGATTCAAATGGAACGAAAGGCATGAATTGATATTTCTCTGAAGAAATTATGCAAATGACTAACAAGCATGTGGACCAATGTCCAACACCATTAGCCATTAAGTAAATGCAAATCAAAACCACAAGGACAGCCATAATCAACATGTGGGAAATGAGATGCATTGGTGAGGGAGCCCATGTTTTTGGATAGGAATGTAAAATGATTCATCTGTGATGTAAAATAGTGTCACAGTTTTTCAAAAAGTCAAATATAGAATTGTCCTATGAACTGGAACTTTGATACACAAGTAATTGAAAACTGCTACTCAAATAAATATGTGTACACTTATGTGCTAAGCAAAACTATTCACAAAAGCTAAAGGAAGAGTCAGCCAAAATGCCCATCCATAGATCCATTGATTAAAAAAAAATAGTATATAGATATAATGGAATACTACTTAGACTTAAAAGGGAATAAAGTATTTAAAAATGCTACAAAGTGGATAAACCACAAAAATATTATGCCAAGTGAAATAAACCAGATACATTGTAAATCCATAGAGACCAAACACACATGGATGACTACCCATGACTGAGTGCCATGTGAAATGGGAAGAACTGTTTGATGTGTTTAGGGTTTCCTTGTTGGGTGATAAGACTATTTTGCAAGTAAATAGACATTATGAATACACATGTGAGTGTACTAATTGCCACTGGACATTTCATTTTAAATGGTTAATGTTATGTTCTGTGGATGTCATTTTCTTTCTTTCTCTTCTTTTCTTTCTCTTTTTCTTTCTTTGTTTTAATATCTCACCAGCAACACTGTAAAGTAAATCATGGTATCACTCTGTCTATCACCTGGTTTAATAATTGTAAAGTCTGGAGGCCAGAGAGAGGAATATTGATTTTTCCTTAGTCCACACATGGTTTTACCAATTGGGGGCTCTTCAGATAAAGCAAAGCAGATGAGCAGAACTGGTGTAATGGGGCAGGAAGGAGCTGTTCCCCTAGAACCATACTCTCACAATTCTGAGCATCTAGGCTATATTGCTAGGCATGACTCTTTAACTCCCTGCATGGTTGAAATGATCTCCATAGGGAAGCTACTAAATTATTCTTCACATGCAGAAAGTTGTCCAAAGTTGTCCAATGTCCAAGTAGCAGTTGCTAATGAGTGACCCACAGGTAAGCGCAGTACTCACCACTGCCATTTCAACTCTGGTCTGGAGGTCCTGAGAGAAAAAAAAGGGAACAATTCTGTCTTATCTTGTCAATCTCCTGATCCATCCCTTTTGCTCCCTATACAAGTGTTTTAATTCCCTGAGCTGAATTTATGCCAGTGGTTTGTACCAGACCGTTGGTACCATTTCAGAGAGAAACTCTTTGATCTTTGGTCTATTTCACTATCACTCATTCCTCTCTTGTATATACACTGAGAAAATATGTTCATAAACATAGCAGCAATTAAATAGTTATTTACTTCTCTTTCTATCAATACAATTTCTTATCCCTGCCCTGCTTCAGATTCAGTTCTTTACTAAACATTAAATAATGTATGCCCTCCCCTCCCTGAAACAATAACAAACATTCTCCTTTGGCGAGACCACCTGCCACCAAACAGTATGAGCACTTTTAACAATGATAAGAAGTTATGTAGGTAATGAAGCATATGACAATTCAGTACATGAAGTGGTTATGGGTTCCACGTCTGCTAAGGAAAACCTCATTGGGGAAAGAAAGTTGTGAACAGAACTTGGTGGGTCAGTAGATTTTGAGAGTTGGAAGGAGAAGGTGAGGGAAAAACATTTGCATACCCAGCACCTGGAAAGCACTGCCCTGTTAAGCAAGTAGGGGGCCTGATCTAGATGCCACCCTTTAAAGGGGACTGATCTCTTGCCTGTGAAATATTGGCATAAATACAGCTATTACAATGTTGGTTGGGTATGTGTGGTCACATATCTCTCCCTAAATTAGAATCTAAATATCAAAATTAAAATAGCATGTCTCCAGTTGAAAATGATTGAGCACACACCACTGATTTGACTTATATTCAGTTTGCCAAATACATGGCTTCAGAATATACAGACACGTTCAGATCACAGGTGATATCCAGAAATAATTGCACTGTGGATCTTACATTCACTATAATACTAATGCTTTCTCATGAGTGGTTTATATTTGGATTTTATTGCTGTTTCCTGGTCCTGACTTTGTAATTCTCCTTTTATCACTACTCTGGCTGGAAGATCACTTCTTTTTATGAAAGTTCTTTTTTTTCCCCCTTTTTGTTGCAGAGAATTGTATTTTTTAAAACTCAGTTTGTAAAGTGCAGAGACTGTTACCTTTCATGAGGTAACTCACTTATGGTATTTCTTTTATTTTGGCCATTTCTGGTATTATTGCTGCTGTGCAAGAAAGAAAACAGTTTAATCAGGGCTTTGCCTGTCCAGTGCAAACCTTCTGTTGGTACTGCTCACA